TGATCATTAGGAAGAAGTAAAACTGTTGATAGGTAATGGAAGTAGGAAGGATACAGTTTTGCACCAGCTGATCCACATGAGTGACTATTAATATTCCTGTAGCCAGTTTTGGTGGTAGGAGGACAAGAGCAGCAGCAGTGGGCTGAGAAGTTCATAGTAGGAAGTGGCTTGGAGTGGTCATGGATGAGCATCTAGGTCAACTTATGAGCCAAATATGAAGCATATTTGCCAACTGAAGAATCTAGACCAGGGTTTCTCAATCTTTTTAAACAGGGGGCCAGTTCACTGTCCCTCAGACCATTGGCGGGCCGGACTATAGTTTAAAAAAAGCTATGAACAAATTCCTATGCACACTGCACATATCTTATTTTGAAGTGAAAAAAAAAAAAAAAAGGGCAAAAACACCCGCATGTGGCCCGTGGGTCGTAGCTTGAGGACCCCTGATCTAGACTATATAGTAGAGGAGGGATATGAGTCCTAGGTGTGGTTTCACAACTCACTTCAGGAACAGGTTTTGTAATTCATCCCATTAGCTTTCCTCTAATGAGATGTGTTCAGCGTAAGAGGCAGACCAAAGCCCTGGAAGAGCTATTCCCAGAACCCAAGTGAAGCACGAGGATGCAAGTGGCTCCATGGTGGATGTCATGTATGCTCTGGTCTGTCACCCAGGTCCCCACTTCATCACAGAAAGATTTATTCCCCTAGCTGGTAGAAGGTCTGTTGCCTGACATGTCTCATCATTCTGCCCTCCTTGGAATGGACTTGGCTAAAGAGAGTTGATTTAACCAAGATCTTATTCCCTTTTGTGGCAGTTTCCTTCAACAGCCCACTGGAGACAATTCTGAAAGGTCATCCTAGGTTCAAAACTCCTTGCAAGAGTAGCTGAGGCCTTCTTGCAACTACTCTTGTCCAATTTCTTCCTCTGCCACATCTAGCTTAATCCATACCTTCAAACAGAATTGATCCTGAGAGCACTCCTCGAAAAACTTCCTGTGTGTTGATCTCATAGTCTGCTTGGGAACTCAATCTTTGATGCAAAGGTTTTCCTGATCTCTGTCATATTACTGCCAGAGAAGGATATCAAAAATGTTGGTATTCTATGGAATATTACACTGGTTCAGTACTTTCATATCATGCTAATTAGATTTAATGAGCTACACAGAAGTAATAATTACTGTAGATGCTTTAGTAAGAAGCACATGTGCCAGATGAAGGAAGATGAATCCTGCAGAAGTTCAGGGACCTCACACATCAGTGACTTTTACTCTAAGTGGCGTGGTGGCACGCCAAGGTACTTCTTCCAAAGTTGCTGCACCTTGCAACACCTGCCACAGAGAAAGAGGTGAATTTCTTTGGATTTTGGAGTCAACATATTCTGTAATGAGTATGCTGTTCCAACTCATTTATTGTGGATTCATAGGCTGCCAGTTTCAAATTCAGTCTGGAGCAATAAAAGTCTCTGTACACAGTCTGCAAGGCAATAGTAACCTGCATAAGTAGGAGCTCAGACTGCTACTCCTCTACAGAATTACTGAAAATTCTCTATGACCAATTAAGAGTGAGGACAAAACATGAGCTGGTTTATGAATAGATAGGCATATTATGCTGGCATCAGCTGTAGGTGAATAAGCACTGTACTAAACCCTACTAAGCGACTGTCCTGAAGGATAGTGGCTAATGACAACTCTTCTAAGGGGAAGAACTTTAGGGAATGCATTTAGTTATAGACTGTCTTTGGAAGGAGAGATGGCCTGAGATACAGATCTTACTAGTTCTTGGGCAGGGCTAATGGTTTGTTTGGTTGTTCAAGGCCTAAGAAGGAAGAAGATTGTAAAATTATTGGCATGGACTTCTGGGGACAGATATGTATTTAAAGTTCAAAGAAAGGCACAGAAAATGAAGACCTTTATGCTCATATGAAGCCTATTAGAGGTTGATACCTTACAGAAGCAGATGATCTGCCCTTGTAGATGCCAGTCAGTCCTTTTCTTCAGCAATTCTAGGACTGCTTAATTGGTTCTAAACTGGCCATAGCAACATAGATGAAGTCTTTGCATAAAATCAACATCATGAATTTCCACTCAGTAAGGCTGATCTGGCTGTCATCACTGCCGAGTTCCCAAGCTGCTGACATAAAGGTGAAGGGTCAGCACCCACTATGGTACTTATCTCACCATACTCTGAGACTAGCCGTAGCTGTCCACCTTTTGGAAGGTTGGATAGAGTTGAACACTTCTTCTATTGAATTGGGAAAGGCTAATCTTCATATATATGCATATATAAAAACTTTCTAGATATAAATATATATAAATACATGTATATTTTCTATGAATATCTAGTATATAGTAATATAACACCCCTCTTCCCTCCCTCCCTCCATCCATCCATCCCTCTCTCTCTTTCTTTTTCTGTTTCTTTCTTTCTTCCTTTCTCTTTCTGGCTTTTGATTTGTCTTTCTGCACATAGTGTTGCTGTCAGCACCACCATTCATGGATTTATAGAATAGCTTTACTGCTATATCTGTTGCTATTGTGTCATATTCAATATTTCCTCTGGACATATTCTTTTTGGAAATGAAGTGTGACAATGGGCTTATACCCAAGGACTTCACTAGACTTACTTGTGCTCTAACATCTGTAAACGAGTGGCTTAATAGAGTAGTAGGATGGCCTAGTGAATGCTCTGCTTTTTTGGTATATTGTTTATATTTTATATTCATGTACTAGTAAGTATAATTTCATTTTATTTAATAAAACGAATGAGGTCATTGACATTTTAGTCCAGCACAGCACTGACTCCTCTCACACATGGCTTAATTTATGGACCATAGATCTTGACAACACACTCAGTATGTGGACATTCAGTGCATACTTGTATTACTCCAGACGTAGAAAATCACTTTGATCCAGGACTTGTTCTATATTTGCATAAGTAATTGTTAGAAAGTTCTTCCTTCTATTGGTTTATATTTATGCCGTTAAACATTTTTATTTTCTTTTCCCCAGTTTATTGAGTGTAATTGACAAATAAAATTATATTTAAGATATACTATGAGATGTAGTAGGGTTAGAGGTTGTGGTGTCCCAAGGAAGAATGCTTTCCGAGTGAGCATAGCTGGGACTGGCCTCTGACCACTTTGAGCTCCTTTTGATAGAAAGATAGAAAGGGGTCTGCCTCTGACATTTGTGTTGCCTGGGGCAAGAGCAAAAACAGAATTCCACAAGCCACATGCTGAAATATTTGAAAGTTTTAAATCAAGCTAACAAAATCCCAAGTAAAATAAGTTCTCCCTCAACATATTGATCAATTTATCACAAAATATATATTAATATATGCTTCAATACACAGAACATTTAGAAAGTCAAGTTTGTGGATTTGGGAATGTTTGGAATAAAATTACTGGGTTCTGAGGAGCAGAATGTGATCTAGAATTAGGGACAAGGACTTCAGGTAGATACGTGTCTTGGCTTCTTAAAATCTTTGCCCCATGGTGAAGGGCATGACCAGGAAGTGGCCATTTTAGCTTCTTTTGTGGGATGGGGAGTAGGAAAAGGGAATCTTTTCCTTGCGTCTAAGGACAGTACTGCTTGTTAGGTTGACATACTCCAAATACTAGGTGGAAAGTTGGTTCCTACTCTACAGTATGGACAAAGAGTATTAAATCCAGAACTCTGGGAATACTGGGGATGCTTCTTAGTACTTTTTGCCCATAGTTCTCATCAATGGAAAACAATAGTGTTCCATCAGAAAAAGGATCATGTGAAGACTGATATCCTATAGGGATAATTATAGGGATAAAATGATTTGTTCATCCCACAAGAAGGGTACCCTGTCCAGACTAGTTACTGATGGAAGGTAAGATGAACTGAAGGAAGTTCTGTTATCAAAATAGAGCTCATAACCAGCCACAGAAATGGAGATTTTGACAGTTATTTTTTTGTGTTAATTACGTTTTTCATCCTCTATTTTCAACTGGTTAATTCATATGAAGGACACTGGTAGAGGCTAGCATTTTGGATTTAGAGTACTCTGCAAAGATGTAACTGTTTCTCTTATGATACAAAATTTATTCTATCCTGATTATTATTTTTCCTTTCCTGATTGCTCCCTGTATAAATGAGTGAACCCAGAGAGGAAAAGACTTGCTTCAATTCATCACTTCAGCTCTTAACCCTTCTCTACCTAACTTTGTTTAGAGTACATATTAAGCTTAAGAGTATTTATTAAGCTCTTTTTCAGTTACCTATTTTGAGTGTGCCATCTCTTATCTTGGAAGGATCTTGATTGATATGAGTATACAAAATTGAAAGTGAAATTCCTTGTTTTTCTGCTTAACTATTGCACTGCCCTGAAATACTTATTATAGAAAGTTTATTGCCTATTGTTCCAGATACATATATATTTATATGTTCAGTGACATACTATAGGTGTTTTGCTTTCCACTGTTTCATTCAACAGCATGTTGCGGTAGTCTTTGGCTACAGAGGTTTTGAACTTGCTTTTTAGTGGCTTCAGAGAATTTCACTGTATGGTTGTAGCATAATATCTTTAATTTATCATCAACTGATAGATGTTTTAATTGTTTCACTTAATATTAAGCTCTAAGCACTGGAAATAACTTCTGCACAACTAAATCTCCGAACATGTCCATAATTACTGAGTATATGATTGTATAAAAATGAAGTGTTGTGTATATTCTTCTACTATTTACTGTATAAAAGTTTAGCACATTGATTCTATGAAGATGATCAAATGATTATAGATAATTTTTTGAGTTAACATTTATCTATTTTAAGTGATTAATTATAATGTGTAATTATCAATAGTTTTGACAAAATAGCACAAAGATATTAGACAAAAAAATTACACTTTTGTTTCACTCTTTCTCTCTAGTGTCTTATTATGAGTTTTTATATACTTTGGTTCCATTGGACAAAGCAAATAGTTCTCTAGGGGCAAAGTACCTCATCCATGAGGTCCTTCTAAACTATCATGTTTTTGCAGTGTCATTTGGTCACTGTCCTCTTGAAGTCTATGTAATTATCTTCATGCCTTCTTATGGCAGGATATTATATGGCACTTTATGTTACGGGACACAGGAAAATCTCGGAGTCCCTGAAGATGCTGGTCTCTTTATACAGGTAATGGAATGATGGAACATTTAACACTGGGAAAGGTGGCTTTAGTCTTTTTCCTTGTTGGAATTGCTATGGACATGAGTCTTATGCTAAGTTACATGTATTCATCCTAAAGTAAAGTAGATAGAGTCTAGAATAAGGAATTGAATAGCACAGGTGAATAATTATGAAAAAGTTTGTTAACATATTGGAAAAGGTTAACTGAACTTGACTTTGAACTAGAATTATATTGTGCCTAGGGAAATGTGAAAGACATTGGAAAAAGTCAAATGGCTTTGTAATGTTTTGGATTCAGTATACGTTGCAGTTAATCACACTGTTCTCGTTGATGATTATATGAATGATTGTCTCATTATGCCACATGGTAAAAAGGCAAGAAAATTGATGACACATGGAAATAGAATAATAAAGAGATTAGAACCACTATTCTAATCTCTAGTTCTGTAAGGTTTATTTTTTTTTTAGATTCCACATATAAATGAGATCTTACAGAATTTTCCTTTCTGTGTTTGTCTTATTTCACCTGGCACAATTTCCTTCAGCTTCATCCATGTCGTTCCAAATGACAGGATTTCCTTCTTTCCTACAGCTGAAGAGTATTCCATTGTATATATGTATACACCTCCCCCCACCCCATTGTCTCTATCCATTCACCTGTCAGTGTACACTAGGGTTGTTTCCATAGTTTGGCTCTTGTTAATAATGCTGCAGTGAACATGAGAGTGGAGATATCTCAGTGAGATACTTCTTCAACTGTTTCCTATATGTACCTGGAGTGGGATTTCTGGATCACATGATAGCTTTGTTTTTAATTTCTTAAGGAATCTCCACAGTATGTTTTATAAAGGCTGTAAAAATTTACATTTTCACTAATAGGGTAGCAGGGTTTCCTTATTCCACAGCCTCGCCAACACTTGTTACTTTTTGGGGTTTTTTTGATACTTGATTATTTAACAGGTATGAGATGGTATCTCCTTATTTAAATTTGCATGTCTGTGATGATTAGGGATGTTGACAATTTTTCATATACCTGTTGCCCATTTGGTTGGTTTTAATGCTAAAGAGGAAATATGCTTTCATTATTTGGACTTCTCTCCTTTTGGTTTATGAATAAAATTATCATAATTTATAGTTTCTCATATTTTTCTTTTTTAGGTAGCAATGCTCACACAGCCAATGGATGGAGCAAATCACTCTTTGGTGTCAGAATTTGTGTTCCTGGGACTCACCAATTCCTGGGAGATCCAACTTCTCCTTGTTGTGTTGTTCTCTATGTTTTACATGGCAAGCTTGACGGGAAATTCTCTCATTATGTTCACTGTGACCACTGACCCTCACTTACACTCTCCCATGTATTTTCTATTGGCCAACCTCTCTTTCATTGACGTGGGTATTTCTTCTGCCACTTCTCCCAAGATGATTTTTGATCTTTTCAGAAAGCGCAAAGTCATCTCCTTTGGAGGCTGCATTGCTCAGATATTCTTCATCCATGTCATTGGTGGTGTGGAGATGGTGCTGCTCATAGCCATGGCCTTTGACAGATATGTGGCCATACGTAAGCCTCTCCACTACTTGACCATCATGAGTCCACGAATGTGCGTCTTCTTTTTAGTGGCTGCCTGGATGACAGGCCTTATACACTCTGTGGTTCAGTTGGTGTTTGTAATAAACTTACCCTTCTGTGGTCCTAATGTGTTGGACAGCTTTTACTGTGACCTTCCTCGGCTTATCAAACTTGCCTGCACAGACACCTACCAACTAGAGTTCATGGTCATAGCCAACAGTGGATTCATGTCTGTGCTCTGCTTCTTCACACTGATTATTTCCTATATCTTCATCATTCTCACTCTTCAGAAACACTCTTCATCTGGCTCATCGAAGGCTCTGTCTACACTTTCAGCTCACATCACTGTGGTAGTCTTGTTCTTTGGTCCTTCAATATTCTTGTACACATGGCCATCTCCCTCCACAGACTTAGATAAGTTTCTGGCCATCTTTGATGCAGTTCTCACTCCTCTTCTGAATGCTATTATCTATACACTTAGGAATCAAGAAATGAAGATGGCAATGAGGAAAGTATGCAGACAGCTTGTGAATTACAGGAAGATCTCTTAAGTGATTGCTTGTATTGTGAGTGTCCTCATTGAGACCATTTAAAGCCATTGCTGATGGTCAAGCTCAGAGAAGCTTCTCTTTGTCCGATTGATTATCCACACTTATATTGGGTGTATCTGATCTTTACTTAGCCAGGGAAGGCATTAACTTAGGAAAACAGAGAAGAAAGTATATGTGCAATATTTGTAAATCAAAGAATATAGTAACTTTGGGCTGTAATTCCTAAGGAATAATTTTTATATAAAATAATTCTTAGAAACACAAGAGAGGAAGCTTCTTTAAGGTCCTCAGAAGAATTTTAGGCAGTAAGCAATGGTGCATTTATAAAGGGTGATTGAACTGGATTTTCTTGCTATATCCCACAGCTTGCCCTGATTTACCCCCCTTTTGGGTCTCTGTGAGTCCGTGCAAGGAGAGTAGCATGTTTGAGAGCACACACGTAGGATTCTATTGGATGCATGCTTTTGGATAGAAGCTGTTTGAGCTATTTTTGGAATACCAAGAGAGAACTGAGAATACATAATGATTTTTCTCCATGATCAACATTATGCTACTCAAACCCATTCAGTTTTTATTCGCCTTTCCCTCTCCTCCTTTTTTTGTCACCCACAGTATACTCTCTGGGCCAGGAAGTTTTTTTCTCCTTTTTCCTTTCCTCCCTCAGGCTTTCTTCCTTCTCCCTCCCATTCATTCATCTCTTCTTCTCTCCTACTTCCCTTTACCCTAGCCACTTTTTCTTTCTACTCTCCCATTTCTTCTGTCCCTCTTAAATTGCTCTTTTAACAGTTTTTATAAAATGTCTCCTCCACAGGTTTCATGTCTTTTTTTTTCTGAGACAGAGTCTCACTCTGTTGCCCTGGCTAGAGTGCTGTGGTGTCAGCTTAGCTCACAGCAACCTCAAACTCCTCAGCTCAAGCAATCCTCCTGCCTCAGCCTCCCGAGTAGCTGGGACTACTGGCATGCACCACCATGCCTGGCTAATTTTTTTTCTATATATTTTTAAATGTCCAATTAATTTCTTTTTATTTTTAGTAGAGATGGGGTCTCGCTCTTGCTCAGGCAGGTTTCGAACTCCTGACCTTGAGCGATCCTCTTGCCTCCGCCTCCCAGAGTGCTAGGATTACAGGCATGAGCCACTGTGCCCACCCCAGGTTTCATGTCTTGATGAACTTGTGTGTGTTTTGGTCTCAGAGCCTCAGCTGTGAAATGTGAGCATAGTGGAAACAGCCAAATGACAAGGATAGAATCACTGAGTTTTTTATTCTTTTTTTTTTTATAAAACCATCAACTCTGAGCATTGCAAACATTGCCAAAATTTTAGCATATATCATTGCTTCCTTACAGGCTCATTATTTGAATTTATATATATGTCTATAACTAAGACACAGTTTACTTTCTGAATCTTCTATAGCTTTCTATTGCCATTGGGTTTTCTCTTTTACTATCCTCTTTCACATTCTGAACTATCTAGACACTTTATCTTAGGACGAATCTACACTTTTCCCTCTGATAAACAAAATCAGATCCTACTACCTTGTATGGTCATATTTCTTGGTCACTAGAACTTCTACTGTAGTTTCATTCACCTATATTAATTATTAATATGATGCTTAAACAATGTAAGTAACTTCTATTTCACTGAGAGTTCTTGAAAGTAACTTAGATCTGTCTGTCTCATGCAGTCATTTTAGTAGACCAGCAGAGCTCATGAGCACCTTAAATACAACCCATTACCACCACAAACAGCCTATTTATGCCTTCTTAAAGGTAGTAAATGTTATTTATAAAGTAGGAAAAATGAATACATTCACTAACAAGATCCATAGGCACAGGCACGCCATAAAGGTATTGGTAAAGTGACACATGTGCACACACCTGAACGCACAAACACAGACACTCACTAGGACAAATGTTTCAATATTCAGTATTTAATCTTATTTAAAATTATCCAAATAATATCCACTAATTACTCTATTTAACACTAAACCAAGGATTAAAAAAAACTAAGCATCTTAAATTTTATGTTTAAGTGGACATATTGCAGCACTGTCTTACTGTCTTTATTTTAATTCAGATTGATTGAACATATAATTTTATACCTTTCCTAATTTTACATGCTTGTTTTCTACTCCATACTTATAAGATCGGGGATAGGATATACAGCTGTTTTGTAAAAAATACAATTAAAATGTTCTGAACTGTTCAAGAATTTCATTTACTTTTTAAATGATAATAATTATATATATTTATCATGAACAACAATAATATTTTGAAATATGTATATTGTGGAGTGGCTAAATCAAGCTAATTATCAGATGCTTAATCCCATACACTTATTTTTTGTGATGACCATGCTTAAAATCTATTCTCTTAGTGAATTTCAAGAATACAACACACCATTATCAACTATTGTCACCATTTTGACCTTATCCCTCCTAACTGAATTTTCTGTCCTTTACTAACATCTCACCAACCTCCTTCCTTACAATCCCTGCTCCAGCCCCTGATAACCACCATTCCACTCTTCTGTTTCTATAAGTTCAAATTTTTGAGATTTCACATGTAAGTGAGATAATGCAGTATTATCCTTCCATGCCAGTTTATTTCACTTGATATTATGTCCCCCAGTTTCATTCATGTTTTAGTAATTAATAGAATTTCATTCTTTTATAAGGTAAAAGAGTACTCTATTGCATGTGTGTGTACTCATATATAAGCATATATTTATATGTATACCACATTTTATTTATCCAATAATCTTGTCAATGGATACTTTGATTGAATCCATAACTTGGCTATTGTGAATAATGCTGCAATGAACGTGAGAGAACAGCTATCTCTTCAACATAGTGATTTCTTTCTTTGGATATATACACAGCAGGGGGATTGCTAAATCAGATAATGGGCCTATTTTTAATTTTTGAGGAACCATCATACTGTTTTCCGTAATGGCTGCAGTAATTTACATTCCCACCAAAAATGTGGAAGGGGAAACTCAATCTCCAAACCAACTAGGAGGAGAGGAATGAAAGGACTTGGACTAAAGAAATGACAATGAAAAGAAAGAAGAAGGGACAAATACATGCAATATTAAAAAGAATAATTGACAGAATTATAGTGGGTAGGAGCAAAGTCTAGGTGTCTCCAGGATTCTAGCTTGGGAAGACTGAATGGCATCATCAGTCTAGGTGAGAAGTGCAGAAAGAAGAGCCCAGTTTCTAAGGGGAAAGTGAAAAGTTTAATAAAATTTATATGTGGAATTCCCCTATCAAGTTATATTGTCTGGGGTTCAGAAAATAAGTCAGGCCTGCTTTTAGATATTTAGGAGGATATTTAAAAGGTGTGCAACACTTAGTATGAAAATTTTTTAATACATAAAAGCAAACACTTCAAAAAGAGGAGTCCCAATGTGTCTACCTTCTAGTTCAAGAGGGTCTAACATTTTAGCTGAGGTTCAGTAGCAAATTTGTACAAAGGAGAGGGTAAAGATTTGTCAGAAATATTAATTTCATCGCTGAACATTATTCTTCCAATATTTTACTAATAGTCTATTGCTGCCACTGCAAGGATTGCTACAGGTCATTCTGGAGCTCATGGAGGGAGTGCAGGCCACCTTCCTAACAGGTTGTTTAATCTATACTTGGATAATAGTCTGTTCACTTGACACTTGCTCCTACTATTTGGTAACTCAGAGCAGTAAGATATTCTCTTTGAATAATTGTTTATACTATTTTTGAATAGTATATGTCTTTTTCAAATAATTATATATAATAAATTTTATCACATGGAAAGCTTAATGTATATCTTAATTATATCTTTGTATATCTTCATTTATAGTCAGTTTTGTAACTTTGTAATTTCTACATTTTGTAGTTGCTTTTCATTTACTTGTAAACCTGGTTCACATAGAATAGAAACCTTTTACATTTTATTCATTTCTTCTTAAATCAATGTCTCCTCTTTTTAGCTCCAAAATATTTGATCCATTTGTAATCATTAAATATTTACATAGTTTTCTTTGCCATATAAAAATAATGACTAATTATTTAGGGAATTATTGGGGTAAAAACTAATTGTCATACACATTGAGTGGTGTAGAAATTTATAACTTCTGGTCTCAAAACATTTTATTAGTTAATAATATCAAATTTTCCTGATTATCTCTCTATGATTTCCCCAAATTTCACTTCTGATTCTAACTAAATCTAAAAATCTTGGTATTAACTGTATCTGACTGTGGGTGAGTAAATTCAGATTTAAAAGCCTGATAGGCTTTAAGCCTTCTAGGCAATTATCCTCATTTTGTTTATTCCTCCACCTATGTAGACACCGAGAAACTCAGAGAGCATGAATACAAGTATATAATCTGGATTAGAAGAGATTTGCCTGTTGAGAATCAGTGACAAAGATAAGTGTCCACCATTTGGTGTTAATGGAAAATATACCCAGGATGTGAGATTGCAGTAATCACTATCACTGACATCTTCAATAAAATACAAGGACACTACATTCCAACATTGAATTCACTCCTCAATATTTTTAGCATCCTTAGAACAGGGTTTCCTTACGAAAAACTGACCAGATCAGAAGAGAGTCCTTGAAAAGAGATTTCATGGTGGATATTGAAAACACTAATTAAACTGAAAAGTTTTGTGAGGTTTAATTAAAGAGATTAATTTCCAAGAATAGTCAAGATGAGTGAATTTCTTGGACTGTACATAAAAAACCTCTTTCTGAAACTTACAGCCTTAACAAACAGTCTCCTCATTGCCACCTTCATGTCCTTATTTCTAAATGTGTAGATCACAGGATTCATAAAAGGAGTGATGAGGACATCAAAGATAGCTAAAAATTTATCTATGGGTAAGGTAGGGACTGGCCACACATAGACAATAATGCAAGGACCAAAGAAGAAAACCACAACAGTGATGTGAGCTGAGAGGGTAGAGAGGGCCTTGGATGAACCACCTGAAGAGCGTTTATGAATTGTGATCAGGATGAAAGTGTAAGACAAAAGCAAGATGAAGAAGGTGCCCATGGAGATGAAACCGCTGTTGGCAGTGACCAGAAATTCCAGTCTATATGTGTCCATACATGCAAGTTTGATGAAGCGAGGAAAATCACAATAAAAGCTATCCATTTTGTTGGGACCACAAAAGGGTAAGTTTACAACAAAAGCCAATTGGGCCACAGAGTGGATGAGTCCGATGGTCCAAGCAACAGCCGTAAGAGAAATGCACATCCTTAAGCTCATGATGGTCAGGTAGTGGAGGGGCTTACAGATAGCAACGTATCGATCGTAGGCCATGACTATGAGCAGCACCATCTCTGTGCCCCCAACGGTGTGAATAAAGAACATCTGGGTAATACATCCTTTTAAGGAGATGACTTTATGTTTCCTGAAAAGATCATAAATCATTTTGGGGGTTGCAATACTAGCAACACCAGTATCAATGAAGGAGAGATTTGCTAGCAAGAAGTACATTGGGGTATGTAAGTGGTGGTCTGAAATGATGGTGAGCACAATGAGAAGGTTTCCCAGCATACCTGCTACATAAAATATTGTGAAAAACAGAAAAAGGAGAATCTGAATCTCCCAAGAACTGGTGAGTCCCAGTAAGAAAAATTCAGACACCACCGAGTAATTTCCTCCATCCATCAATTTCATGTACAAGGCTGACCCTAAAGTTTCCTGAAGAACACAATAGGAAGAAAAACATAATTTTTAAGTTGAAGGACATATCTTGGATATAAAGTAATGACTCAAATGTCAGAAACTGAAGATACCTTTCCATTTTACACAGAATT